GAGAGAGAGAGAGAGAGAGAGAGAGAGAGAGAGAGAGAGAGAGAGAGTTTGTGGTAAGGGATTGAGGGATGTTGGGAGAATCTGGAGGTTGGAGGGTCAAGTCAGCTTTGGTATTTAAAATATGCACCTCAGTCCCTTTGAGGTCTGAAACCAAACTTTAAAGTTTAAAAGAAGTATAAGAAATTATTGATTGTCTCTCTAAGTGCTAATATAGTTCTTGCCCATACTTTCAAAATCTTTTGTGAAGTGTGACAAGGTATTCAACTTTTCTTTCAATGATACAGTAATTAAATTTCTAATCCAAAATAAAGGGTTGTTTGGATACACTACCACCATAAAATATATCCCATGTAAACAGTAGCATTCCCAATAACTCTCAATGTTAATGTGAAACTTGAGCATTTCTTACAGTGTTCTAGGTAAAACAATATTGAAGTACATGTAGTTTCACAGAGCAGCAGGATGCTTACCTTATTACAAAGTTGTGGCTGTCAATCTCCTTTCCACATCCACTGTCTAGTAGAATGCCGGAATTTCCAACAACAGCACAGGTCTTAAACCTCCGGTTTTTCATTGGTGAAACTTCAGGAAGGAGGCTATGCAGATCATGAGAAATATTTAGTGTCCGACGTCTGTCCAGCACATAGTGTATGACATCACCAGGCTTAAAGCTGCTCTTGACCACAGATACATCACGTTCCGCATCTAAGAAACGGAGAATGTTCTTCCTGTATTTGGAAAGCAAGCAAAGTTTTAGATTAAGGACTGAATATCTAAGACCCAATGTCCCCATTTCTACCACAGTATATAGTATATAAACTGGTAACTACTACTCTTAAATTGTCTGGTGGTAAATAAATCAAGTAAATGCTATAGAAAATATACTTTTGTTAATTCCTGTGTGAGGAGTTTAGAATAATTTTGTGAATAGATATAATGTATACATCTATTGCTAAAGTAAGAAAATCACTCCATTTGTGAAAACATACTTAAAAAATACTTCACTAGGTAAAGTGTTGCTCATTAGGGACAGTATTTGTACAACTAGGTCATTGCCTCGTATTCTCAATTTTCTAAGTCATTGCTTGTATTTAATATTATACAAGATGAATAGTATTAACTTGAAGTTATTTTGAATCAGACCATTGAAAGAAATATTAAATTATTACAAATCCTCCCAAAATACATTTATCCAAATGGCACATTAAATATGTCTGTAGGTTTTCATTCACACTGACAAGTCCAAGAAGTAGGATGGATTCAGTCCAGGAAGTCCTGATTAGATAGAGTATCAATTGTATATATGAGAGATATTTAATGATTCTTAGGTTCTTTCATATCTTCTTTGTCTTTAAACATTCACTTTTGTTGTTGTTGTTGTTTGAGTTGTTTGTTTGTATTTGTCTGTGTGCCCTGGATAATTAGAATCTTTCCTCATTTTTAAACAAGTTTAGTTGTTTGCGTTGTTGAGTTGGTCTTTGTAAGTTGGCTGTAAACGATCTTGTGTATGACCATATGAGAGAAAAAAATTCTAACTCATCTCATCACTGGAATTTACACCCATCATGTATTTAATTTTTAAAAATTTAACCCTTCCTCTATCTATTGTATAGATTAATCACAAGATATAAGATGCTAAGGTAATACGAATATGTGCATATTCTAAATAGATGACGGACTATGAGAAAATTGACATAACTGGCTGGAAGGTAGAGGAATTGTGACAAAAGAGAAAAGGTACCTGATAGTTTGTCTTTTAAACTTTGGAAGCTTAATATTGTACATAATAAATGGACTGGTCATGAAAAACTGGTTTAAAAGTATTTAACTGTTGGGTTTTTTTTTTCTTTAGGTGCTAAAATAGGAGAATCAGAGCTGAAATGCCCAAGTGGCAGGTAGTAAAGAAAGGAATCTGTGTCTTGACAGGATCTGTGATCCAAACTGTTAGGCTACGCAATTTGTAGCTATCATGTTTCCCTGCAACCTGCTTGGTAAAATGTGAATATAAATTATAGCTGTCCAAATAAATGTGATAAATTATCTTTCCATGTACAATGAGAGATTTAAATGTTCCAAGATATCTGTGATTGAGTTATGGGATGGGGAGATGATTTAGGACAGTTTTAAACCCCTGAAAAGAAGTCTGTGTTCATGGGAAGTCTTTGGAAGGATCCGTTCAGGTGTGTAACCAACATCAGGGAAATACACTGGGATCTAGTAGCTTTTGAGGAAATGATGTTGACAAATTTTTAGGATGTGGTCTATAGGAGTCCAAGATTACTTAATTCCACAGCTACCAATCATAATGCTCCAAGAAGCAATCTAAAAAGTCTGTAACAGAGGCTGGAAAGCAAACTTTATTTACCAATGGGCTCTTAAGCCAAGCTTCCAGCTTCACAGGGATAAAAGTCAGTGCCTAGTAGTATGTAAGATAAAAGAGACCTATTTTCCTTTTGTGCTAATATGGTGTATGCTATACAACACTGAGTAAGTTTCATTACTAAGAACAACAGATTACAAGGATCTAGTTGTTCTCCACAAATGGTAACATCTACCATCAAAGTGACACCATAGTCTTCCATACTCATTAATTAACTTCTGTTTAATTACCTGGGAGGAAATGAGAATAGCTTGACACCTATATTTTAACACAATTTTTTGTTTGCTGTGAAGATGACAAGGTTGTCTTGAAGATAAAAACTGCACGGATGTGGTTAAATCATCAAAGAGGGTGATGTTACTGTTTCCCTTTGAACAAAACTGAAATAGACTGTCACAGATGCACTTAAAGATTGTGCTCAGAAGCAGTAGCATGTTTGGCAGCTTGAGATACATAGATAGGACCTGCAGGTATTAAAGAGGTTTCTATAGCTTAGAAATCCAAAAGCGAAACTCCCTTTCTCGCCATCAAAACGCTACCCTTGCTGGCATGGGAACTGACAAGAGGGACTTTCCTACAGAAACGTCTTTTCTAGGTAATAGAAACTTAGAAGCCAAATCATTTCAAAATGTGATGCACAGTAAGCAGAACACCAGTGCTTTACACACCCTTAGGGGAAAAGTTTGAATGGTGCTTTGAAAGTTAAAATGTTAAAATGAGTAGGCTTACTAACTTTTGGGAGAAAATAGTAGCCAATGAGATAAACAGTTACTAAGCACATATGAGAACGTTATGAATCATTCTAATTATAGGTGATAGGATTAGCAGTAATTTACTGTTACAAAGCATCAGTCAAAAAATAACAATGTTACTTTTAAAGCAATAAAATTCTAAGTGTAATAGACTAATAAGATTAAAAATAAAAAATGCTTTTAGATAAAATTTAAAACATTTTGAATATAGAATGTGCAACCTTAACCTGGAAATTTAAAAGAAAGAGACTTTGAAGTATTTTAAATAGTTTTTGAATGTTTTACTTCTTATGTTTAAAAAATCATTTAATTCACATTTTTAGGGCTGAAATTTTTGCATGAAAAGTTATTGAAAGTAAGATTGTTGATAGAAATGCTGATAATAATTATTATGAATGAACAATATTGTGACTTAGAAACACAAACGCTTTTGGAATCAGTGAGGAACGGTTAGATTCTTCTCAAGTTAGAAGGCTAAAATCATTCTATTTGCTTACATATGCAATGGAACATAAGAGATTCTGTGAATTTCCTAAACATAGTCATCACTTAAAGGACAAAAAGATGGAGAGAGAAAAATGTTACATAAATACAATTATCTCAATGTCACAAGAAACAAGAGACATTCTTCTTAGAGTAAATTGAAAAACTTTTTAAGTTTCGTCAGAAAGTCATGAATGGTTTCCTTTAGAACACAATATGAATTTAATTTTGTTTAACAGCAGAGTCAGCAAAATTGCTTGAGAAATAAAGGGAAGCCCAGCTTAGCTTCTGAGACCACACATTCGAAGTGCAACAAAAGTGTATTTAGTATTCAAGCTGTAACTTTGCACATTTTCGCGGTATGTGGCCATGCCACTAACCGATATTTAAAGTCAGGGAATGTGTCTGATATTAAACATAAATAAATAAATAAATAAATAAATAAATAAATAAAGGAGAATTAAGATATTTCTTAGATCTTCCACCGTCATTTGGTCACTCCAATTTAGACTGTCACATCCTCTTAGTTAAGCTAACACCAACTTTAGAGCAACTGTTTTAAAATTAATGGTAACTGAAAATAAATTGAAAACATTTCATTTTCAATGAGACTGAAAATATTAGTCACAAAATACATTTTTTTCTTTTTAAAGACAAAGTTAGTTTCAACCAAAAGGTTTGTGGACTGTTAAACTGACAGGAAAGATTCTACACAGAAATTTCTCAACTGAGTCTGCAACCAGAACTTCCCTTTCGATACCAACCATTGGTTACAACAGCAGCTGCAGGGTCCTAGAGGCTTAATTTACTACTCATTGTTTTCATTTGTGAAACGTTAAATATAGCTACCCCACCACCACATGCCACTCTCCTTCTTCCTTCTCTGTATATTTTGTACCAACAATCTGTGTTGTGACAAGTGAAATTTCACTGACAGTACATTTGTCTCACCAGAAGCTTTGAGTAACACATTAAAAGTTGAAAGTTAAACTGGGTTATATATACAAACATATATCATCATGTAAGTAATTTCATTTTATTAGAGTAAATAGAGGAGAGGAAAGAGAGAATCAGTGTTTCTAAATTCGATGGTTAAAAATATCATATTGATTCACCATAACGCAGCTCACTGAAAAGAAAAAGAAATTTCTGTATGCTTTATTGTGCCTATGAAGTGAAAAAAACATCCTCACATGACTTTTCCTAAATAAAGTCTTTTCATTTCTTAGTAATACAGGACTTGGGGAAAGGTTATGGGAAAGATGTTTTGGTCTGAAAAGGAAAAATCCTAAATAATCATAGTACATGAAAATTAAATTATTTCAAAATATGTGAAGAATGCTGTATTTTAAAACTTTATTTCATACTTGGCTATGAAATTGGTAAAATTGGATGATCAAAATTTATTTTTATCTTTAAGCAAAAACATATCATGTACTTCATAAAGAGGCTCTATGTTTAGTACTAAAATATGATCGTCCACAACTTGCTCTGTTAAAAGACAGGCACTTTAAAATAAAGCACTGAAGGGGAATGCTTGCTCCTGCTAAATAAACTTCTTCAGCTGAGAGTACCGTTATTGACATTTGCTGAACACAGTAGGTTGAAGATGGTGTAAGATTGTATGTGTCATTTTCCATGAAAGAAATCTATAAATGAAACAGCATGCCATTTGTTTTACATGAAACACATATAATCGTGCACTTGTGTTTAATTAGCCAGTCTTATATGTTTAAGAAATATTACACTAAGAATCAAAATATTTCACTAATTATTGGCTAGACTGTTTGGATGAGGAGAGCTGATTTCATGTTTCTACACCCTTATTTGGCATTGGATATTTTTAGGGTTTTGTTAATGTATGAAAACTGAGAAAATAAAGAACCAAAATACGGAAAATAGGTTGAGACAGATGGTAAACAGAAGCTGACAGCCTTCACAGATTTAGTCTCAAGTAATGAAACTTAAATGTGTCAACTCTTAAGAACATAATAGTAACAAAATCTTCACAATATAAGCCATCGAGAACAAGGTAATAATTTTGATTGTGACTATGTCTGTGAAGTGCTTTGACTCCGTAAACTTTGTGGATTTCAAAGTATAATGAACTCAAACCACCTGAGACAATTCTCCACCATACAGTCGCTTACTAACTCACTACCTGATGCTTTCAGGAAAGCTACAGACCAATCAGCAGAAGGACGAAAGGGTGCAAGCAAAATTCACAACTAAAAATAGAACGAAATGACCTACACAACGATTACACATGTTAATGCAAATTAACAAAGCATTTACTAGAAATATCATCAAAACATTATAAATATTGTAGTAATTTAATAATAAACAAGACCATAAAGCTGGATTCAACTATTTAAAACAAACAAAAAAATTCAAAGTAGAATTTTGAAAAACTTGAACGTGACCCAGCCACCCTCTCACAGACATGCTTGCTAACAACAGACTTGTAGAACCTGAGCTGAACAACAAGATATTTTCATATCCTCACTCTTTTATTACAGGTGTCAAACTGATTAATACTCAATCGTCACTGCTGCTAGAGGCAATTGTAGTTTTTATGAACTGTTTGCACATCACACAATAATGAACTTACAAATTATTCTTTACTTTCAAATGACAACTGTGTATATATTATTCAATACTTGTTCACTGTTACATTATTTACCTCTTTGACTGTTAAGCGGAACAATACAAACAGCCTGTAGTAACAATTCATTCATATTAACAGCTCTTAGCTGAAAAAGCTCACCCTCAGAATTGCAATTGCAGCATTCATTAGTTTGTAAAGTTCCATCAGAGGAAGCACTATAGTCGGTTTATATTTAACACGTTTAGATTGGATAGCTTACTATAAAGCAAACTATAAATTTAAAGTCCCATGAATACATGTATTATTTGTATTTGAATAGACATTAGGAATGCATAGAGTGATGTATTAATTATGAAGGTGTAGTATTCAATTAATAAACTTTTTAAATTTTCACATACATGACACATTTTAAGCTTAGCTAGACATGCTAATCAAACTATTGTAATTTTGTTTTGTATGCCCTTTGCATCATCCATGCAGCCTCATCTTCGATGACTGGTTTCTTGCCTGACCACTGTTGCTTTTAAATCATGATTGTAAATAACTTTTCTTTTCAACCAACCACGTTTTTTTTCTCTTTCATCAACTTCTGAGGTTCAATGTTATGCCTATCTATCAGCTCATTCCTAATAATTAGGATTTATTATGGCTAACTTATTTTAGATTTAGATGAAGAATTAGATATGGGAGCCAGAGAAAAAGAGAGATGATATAGGAATCATGTGAGCCCAAAAATATCAAGCTGAGAAGTAATTGAGACCCTCACTTTCTAATTAGTCAGATACTGTTAACAAAATTTCTATCTTAATATCTCATCCATGAAGGGTTGGTATTTTGTAAACAATAAAAAGCAATGGTTTTATATATAAAAGACATGTTCTCCCAAACTTCTCAAGTTCTGAATTACCAAAATGCTCTAATTTAAGCGTACCAACCAAAGCAATGATGGAATGAAAGTATAAGGAAAATAAGATTCTTTATCCCTTTGCATTTGGGAATGTATAGCCCATTTTCTCATTAACTTTAGAACTGAAATACAGGAGAGAGCTGCAATGGATATGAAGAGTCCTTGGGTTTATTTCAATAATTCATTGTAGCTTAACATGTCTGTCTAGCAAAGAACAAGCCAGAACTGTAGCAAGATTATTTTCTGACTTTTTATTCTCTTTTTCTCTTGAGCTTATACCGGCATAACCATTTAATAAATCAAATCAATCTATAGTTAAAACACAATAGGAGTCAAGAAACCTCTGTTCTATCTAGTTAAATGTCAGATCAAATTGAAGTCTCAATATAGAAAAGTAAGAAAATGATTCCTAAAATGAATGTTCATTCCATGCAATGGAATAAAATTATGTTAAAGGTTAGGACTTAGCTCAATATTTTTCTCTATTGATAGTGGGATAGTATATTAAAAATTCTATCATCCTTGAAAAAAAAGTGATCATTAAATGACTTTGTTTTTATGGTTCCACATTCTTTCATGAGGAACATTAAATATAGCTGATTCATTTTTTCATTAAGCTCTTAAACTTAAGCCATAAATCAAGTGTTCAATATAAGTTTGCCAAATCCAACTTCTTTAAGGACATGATGTGATAGTTTTTGGCTTATTAAAGAAACTCACCTTATCTCCAGGACTAAAGAAGAATTGATTTTCCAGCCTTGTACGGAATGTTGGAAGATGGTAGAGCCAGCCTTCCGAATGATTTTATCAGAGCTGTTGATAAGTGATCTACTCAAACACAATTCACCATCTCTGAAAGACAGACAGGCCAGGTGCATGAACATCAGAGGCATTTTTCTTAAGTGACGTCATACACGATTCTATATACATTAAGGAGTAAGCATGGCATATTATTTTCATAAGTTAGTAGAAAAGAGAAGTAGACTGGGAGGGGCTTCAGGAGTCACGTGACAGACATTATCACAGCAAACCTCCACCCCCTCTTATTTTTGAAAAATAATCTTTCATATAAGACAGACCTCCTGATATTTAAGAAACTATTACTCTCATCAAAGCTACAATACGAAGTACCTCCACTGCTACTTATACAATAAGAGGCAGGATGTTTGGTCAGTTACTTACTTTACAAGCCTATGACTTTTGCTGCCAAGATTAATTTTGTTTCAAAGAAGACATAGAAAAGAACTGGAAATATACTTTGCTGAGGACTACGAAGAAAACCATGTGCATAGCAGATCCGCATGCATGCTTGATTTCATGGTGCATTGGCATTGTGTTCTTGGGCACTACATCACTAAGGTCACTGTGCACTTAACCTTGGCAAACAACAATAACGTTATTCAATATGCAGGGACTGTGATGGTTATGGGGTTTTCTGTATAACAAAGTAACTTTTCAAGCATGGTTGATGTGCCAGTTCAAAAAGAATTGGTTTCTAACATTGTAAAGATGAGATTCCCTAGAAACAGAGAAGAAAACTCTTTCAGTTCATATATTCATTGCCTTTGTATTGCATTAAGAGCGACTGACTCTTACAGTCATCTCTAATATACCCTTGGCTAGTATACCATGTGAACTGGTAATGTTTGGGGTTTGGTCTGTGCGTGATGGAGAGAAATGTATGTCCTATCATTTATACTATAAGGACCTGTAGAGCCAAGCAGTTGACTATTGAATAGATGTTTTCCTTTGTGATTTCTGCTTAAAAAAAAAAGATTCAGATAATTACTAGAAGGCAATCAACTATGGCAGAGGAAGAAAAAGTTTAGTCTTTTCAATATTTGTATTAGTTTAATCATTTCCTTTAAATAGCATTGCTAAAAATGTAACATGATTGTTCAAAACCACCAAGTATGAATGTGTGTGTATTACCTAGAATATTCTCTCTACTCATAAGAACATTGCTTTTTAACAGCTGTTAGATGATTCTAAAACTGGAGGCTTATTGTTTGGTACTTGCTTTGCATTATTTTCTTAATATGTAATTTTAATTTGAAGCAACTCCCTGTGCTATTTATGAAATCATATGAAACCACTCCCTGTGAAATTTGAAACTCTATAAAAATTAATATTTTACACAGTTCTACTGATGGAAATTACACATTTGCATGTCTGTGCAAGACTAATAATAGTCATTTTACAGAGGTCATTTAGGATGTTAGGAAACAGAATACATTTTACTATGCAGTGATAGAGATATCAATTTTCATATTATACTTCTAATGATAATAATTGCATATGAGTAAGATTGTGGATGTGCACAGAAGTTAACCTTCACACTTTAGTGTACACCTTAAAGCAGGCATAAATTATCATTCTTTTTATGAGAAGAGGCAAAGATCTGTCCAATCATCACTCCTTTAATGACTGCCAATATCATTTTTCTGCCATAGATTGCTAAGGTTAGAATAATAATTCTGAGACCTAGTATATTTTTATGGGAGTAAAATTATTCATGCAATTGAATTTTTAAAATTTATATAGTGTTGTGGCACTCACAATTATGTGTAGAATTCCTACCTACAATGGTTTTTATGATGATATACTTAGTCTTATGGAGCCTTAACAGTACAAGTGCATATTCTGAGAACAGTTAACTTCTCTATCTGAGCAGCTTCTATTAAATTGGTGATTGGCCATAGGTCAGGCTTTTATCATTGGAAAGAACCTTGAATGGAAATGGATATGAGTAATCAAACTTCTCCTTTACACTCAAAGGAATCATCTGACCCTGTAAAGCATACTTCTTTGTTGTTGTTGTTCCTGCAAATTTAACCAGCTCCCAAAGGATATTTTTACACACTCTTGGTTTTACTCTGTCTGAAGAAAGATTCCCTTCCCATGAATTCAAGGCATGAAGAAAGATGCCACCCGCTGCTTGATTCTCATTCTAGTTTGGACATGACCTCCAAACAGCTGCACTAAAAACATTTTTTGCATAGCAATATCTACAAAACATTCAACATCCAATTTTAAAAGGGAAGAAACAAAAGACATCAAAGAAACCAGTCAGCGCTAAAGAATGCGATTTTGCAGTATTCCTACTCGTATGGTGTTATGAAAATTCAACAAAGATGATCATACATAAGATCCCACTCTTAGGAATATCCATACTTAAGTCCATTAATATGCACAAATCTTTTGTTATTGTTTTCTGTTTGGTATGAGTTTCTAGCCTTTGCAACAATTTATTTTGTCAATTCTGAGATACACAACAAAGATGATTAGTACACTTTTGGATAGTAGGTTTCAGTATCTTAGAATTTTAGGATACTGATTACTTAGCTTTGGAATGAATGTGACTAGAATAACCTTCTTCATTCATTTAAACTTTAAAAGATCATATCAACAAAAGACTTGAATCAAACTAAGTCTGAACTCAAGCAGTGGATAAGTCTATATTTTATCCCCAAAGTATCAAACAAATAAAGATGAGATATAGTGTAGTGTATCTATAAAATTAATCTGGGAAGTAAAGAGCAAACCATGGGATACTGTTTTACAAAGACGTCTTCTACTTTGAAACAATTTAAAAGTAACGTGTCCTATGCAGTTATAATCTAAGCACTGGCATTTAGCTTTACAATCAACCTTATACATGGCAGAATTCAAAACTGTTGATTGTTTACTAATATAATGTAAGCAGCCTTGAGGGTGAAAGAGGCATGGATAAGTATACTCATTTTAGTTCTGCCACGCAGGTTTCAGGGACGCTAATCCAAAGTAGCATCTATATATGATTGAACTTTGCCACACTTTCAAATTCTTTCCTCACTAGATAGGTTTGCTTATGTAGTACATGTGGGAAACTTAAAACCCATTTCCAGTACATTCTGGTGAGCACACCAAAAGTGAAAAAGTAGGACAAACGTAAAGCATGTGGGAAAAAATGACCCAATTAATACTACCAGTGTTAGTACAAGGTAAATTCGTTAACAAAACCCTTCTATCGCTAAAGTTTATTCAGAAGGAAATGGCAGCGTCAGGTGGTCAGTGATTATCACTCAGATTGTTGGGAGTAATTCCCTCCTCATGCTGAGCACACTGCTCATGCTCCTCTATATAGAGAACAGGAACCTTTCTCCGCTACTGTTTTCCTGCTGCATACAATGACTGCTTGATGCTGAAGAGTGAGTGGTGCTTCTTTGGGGACTCTTCAGTGAGGACTCTGCTAAAGAAGAAATGGCTGGGTAGAGAAACCTCCTAGTGAGAAATACTCTACTCGTGGTGGTGGGGATGTTGACTCTGAACCCAGAGGGATGTAAGATTAAAGGGCTTGGTTGGAGCTACTGCCAGCTGGTAAGGCATGCAGTGCCCCCCAAAGGCTGTAGCCAGACTCTATGATTTCACTTTTAAATGAAGCTTTGATCTGGCCTCCAGGGCCCCTTTACTCTTTAAGTCATTTCAAAACTCGCCTCTCTATAAGCTTGAACAGAGAGGAGATGGTGGGCTAGCTGATGAGTCAAATGCTCCACCAGAGGCACTGTTGGGGAGTTGAAAGAAAATCATGTGCTCAGGTCACAAGCTTTTCTTCTGAACGTTTCATTCCAGCATAAGGGGGATGAAAGCCCAGAGACCCCAGCTACCCCTCATGGATACTGGCCACAGTGGCCCCACCCTGTGCCCGAGTCTGGAGGCCCACAGCAGTCAGGATTTCTTCAGCACGTGTGTGAGGACTGTCTCCACAACTGGGTCCCTGCCTTGTTCGAAAAAACTACAATTTTGGGCTTTAATTAAAGAGGAGGAGCTTTGAACGTGATTGTTTTTTTGTTTGTTTGTTTGTTTGACTGTCACAAATGAAGTCAGGCTGACTTCTATCAGAAATGATACACACACGCGCACACACACACACACACACACACACACACCTTCTCATTATCCTGCTCTGACTACTAGTTCTCTTAGAAGAAAAGGTAGACACAGGCACTGGCACACCTCTCTTCCTGTTTTGATAACTCAATCGCTGGCCTCAAGCTTTCTCGTAGGAACTAGAAAGAAAGAACCAGCTTAGCTTGCAAAGGATGCAGAGGCACAGCTCAGTAGAACTACCCAAGCACTGTGTGGCTGTGGGGCGGCAGCTCCTCTGCTGCCAGGGCTGTGCCCACCCTCCATAGGTTTCCAGAAAAGGGCCACAGAAGAAACGTCACTATGAAACGTGGGGTGTCCTGGATCTGTTATTTTCCTTTGGGGCACCTGGGATACATGCCTCCTTCCTGGAGGCAATTTATCCGACCAAGGAAATGATTCCTTTCCAGCATTTGGACATAGTGCTTATTGCCACGCCCACTCCTGCTCGCTAGGGTCCCAAACCACTGGAGTCCTGTAGAAGCTTGCCTGCTTTGTCTAGGCGCCGGCTCATCGGAACCCAATCAGTTCAGAAGGGAACAAAGAGCCTCGATTCGCAAGTCCCAGCCTCCGCCTCTTTCAGGAATTCCCACGCACGGGTTCACCACCTTCAAGACCCCTTTGTCTGCCTGGCAAAAACAGGTCTGCTGGGGATGTCCACACCCCTCCCAATTTATCTTTTCCAACATTGACATGGATTTTTCAAACCATCCACTTCTATGTAAACGACTTCACAGGATCTATCTATCTATCTATCTATCTATCTATCTATCTATCTATCTATCTATCTATCTATTTTTCTCTGATACAGACCTTGAATAGGTTTGCTGAAGCATAAGGACCATTCAGCTTAGAAGCTTTCCTTTCTTCTACAGTCCCCTTTGAGCCTAGTACTGTTAGGCTAGCTTTATACAGCAAGTCCTTCCGGGAGGATACACCTGCATCTTACTCACTTAATTGTGACTGATTACTCAGAGAGGAGCACGGATATTAAGAAAAGAGCTGCGTAAAGTTTCATAGTGTGCGTTTAAGAAGCTCTGCGCCCCGCCCCCACACAAAACCGCGCACACAGAAATGGCAAAGCATCCTTCTTCGTTTTTAAAAATGTCAGAAACAATTTAAAAGCAGAAGGAAATCTCAGCCAGTGCAGTTTCCGACTGCGGAAACCTCCAGACTTGGAAGGATTTCCGAAACAGGACTTTTAACAGAGTTGTACACGCAGGACCATATCCTCAGAAATAGCGCTTCCAAGCCTTGTCAGAGACAAGAAGTTACAAGGCGCTTTGCTCTGGATAGACTTCAAAGGCAGAGACGCCAGGGGAGAGAGGAAGGAAGTGAGATATTTACAGAACTTAATGGGGCGGAGATTTTGAACACATCTTGACAAACTCAAACGCGCAGTTCCCAGTTCCCTTCTAAAACTGTAATCATGAAACCCAGGAGTTTTATCCATGGAGGAGTGAATAAGGAATTTTCCTTATTGACACCAAAATGTCTAATTTGAAAGAAAGAAAATACATCTCACAGGCGTCCCCTCCCCCAACAACAACAAACAAACAGAAAAAGAGTACAGAAGACCCATTTCACTTCCGTGAAGATAAACTTTAGAGAACGCCGCTTTTTATACTGTCTTCATAGACTGGCAGGACACAGAAGGAAGGAAAGGGAAGGCTTGAAGAGTAAAAACATTTCTGAATTCTGCTGGAGCGTTAAAATGACAAGGGCACACGTTCTTTGTTGACACTTCTGCAGTGACTTCTTTGGCGAGCACCATCCTGTGCCTATGTATCTTTCACCACCACCATCACCACCACCACCACCACCACCACCACCACCACCACCACCACCACCA